TGTCGTCGGTAATCTCATGTTCAATATACCACGAGCGGCAATCAATATCAATGATGGTTTCTATGGTAATCATACTATTAGTTGGAATGTCATATTCAATACTGTGCGAGAAACTAGTGACCATGGACCAATCAACACATGGGATCGACAACCATTTTTGAGTGATGCAGTGCAACGTGGCGTACCTTCACTCTGGCAACATGAAAGTTCTATTCATCATAACACTCTCTTCAATAATTACAACGCTTTATGGCCCATTGATCATGATGATGGTAGTTGTTTCTATGAAGATAGTTACAATTTTCATGTGTATGGTGGCAAGAAAAATTTTTTAGGTCATTCAAAAATAGATCATCATCAAATTTATGTCTATTCAGATGCAAATAGAGGCGACTTCGGTAGTAACGTGTGTCTTGGTGATTACGCTCCTTCACGAGGTTCTAGTGGTTGGAATGAAATTTGGGTCGAGAACACTTGTGTACTCTACCGGAATCCGTTGCCTTACAAAATTGATAATTGTGATACAGACAATCTATTTGTACCTTATTTAGCAAATAATAAAATCTATATTCCATCTGGTACACAAGCTGTATTTACGTGTAAAGTCAATGGCAGTGCCAGACAACTTAGTTTAGAACAATGGCAATCATATGGTTTGGATATTGGTACTATCGTCCAAATCGCACCCGATGTTCAAACAATTATTGAATGGGGTCGCAAAATGTTACAAGCAACAACATAATACGAACTGTAATTCAGAAGAAAAAGTGATTTTTCAATGATTTCAACGTATTTCTATGTAATATATTTAGTCTGACTTTTTCTTTTATTAGTCTAGAATTGTTTGCATTAATTTCGTTTTTCTCAAGCAAGATGGCACATCACCGCGTTCTGCGAGTAATATTCGAAAGTGAATTGACTAGAAATTTTCAGTAAGATGGATTGGCCGCCGACATCCGATCGAGTAGCCTGCGAGATTACCCGACCTAACACCATCGTGTTTCTTCTTGTGAGAATACGTCAAAGGAATCGTATACAAAAGCAAGTACCATAATCTAGCTCATCCCAAGTAGTTAATTGACTTAGTATTTCGAATTTTAGACTCTAATATCTGCGAGTGTCAGTGTATGGGTGTGGGTGTAGAAAGAAAAAAAATCCAACACCTCACACCCACCCATTCTATGTTAATAATTTATTAATACTTCCTTGGTTTTGTTTTTTTAATCAAAATATTTCGATGAGAACAATAATTAATTGTGGATGAGTGATTTGTAATATTGAATTTTACTTTTTAACATTTTTTTTTTGTTCTAAATAATTTGATTTAAAGGAATATGAATTTCTCAATTGTGAGAAAGGTTCTATTATGAGATATTAAAATAACACAACGACTTAAATTATGCTTACTAAAATTCTTAAACAAACACATGATTTTTAGATTTTCAGCTGATGTTCAGAAGTAAATACAATTCATTCAAATAAAATCGAGCGAAAAAACTTCATATTAATACAAAAAAGAAATGAAAATTTTTACATCACAGTTTTCAAGTAAAAATCTTTTCAATTTGAATCTGAAATTATTACCAGAAAATGGATATCTGGAAAAAAAACATTTACCTTTTGCTTAAAATTGTAAATAAAAGTGACTTTAAATCATAGAGGAAACAAAGTCTCAGTGAGGAAAAAATTATTTGAATTGATGTATTTTACTCGACTTTTTCGAGATTTCGCATCACTATACATATACACACACGTCTCTCTTATTGATAGTATTACGAAAATCCTTATTACACACATATCTCTCTTCTGAGGGTGTGAGGTTCTCGTTTTGGGAATGCAACTAATGGCTTCAACCTCCGTTGTTGACGTAGGCTGAAATATGAAATAAGGATCTAAGCCTGCTTATCTTGAGAAAACTCACACTTAAATGCTTACCATATATTGTTGTTCAGGTGATGGAATACGAGTTGTAATAAATTCCGTTATGTAGGTGTTTCAAATATTTTATTAATAGATGATGATGATGGAAAATCACAGAAAACACGAATAGATATATAACCACGACCAGAGGAAAAACAAGACCGAAGGTAGTTATCACAATAACTACGATCAAGGCAAAAAAAGAGAAAGAAGAGAACCAAAATAGAAAGAGATAGAAAAATCAAAGAATATAATAAAAT